TAAGAACTTTACATGTGTTATCCCACTCCATCCTGATAAGAAATAAGTGTGTAATTGCCGCTGGTTTACAGATTAAGTCAGCTGAAACAAAGAGAGATTAAGTAACCTGCTCAAGGTCAAGCGCTTTGGTCCGCTTGACTTATGAGGCCATGCACATAACGTCTATTTCATGTCACTCAACTTATTATTGTTGTTATTTTTCCATCTCGTGTTTGAGTCAGTTTTAAATATGGAAAGAAGACTTTGACAATTTCAAAACTCTGATTCTCAACCTGCAACTAAATTCTTCCTGTAACTTTCCATGACACATGACTGGAGTCTAATTTTTAGTCTATAAAGAAGGAAATTTCTGTCCCACCCCCAAGGATTGTTTTTATGTATGGTACAAGCAGAAGAACGTAGTGTCAGGAAACATAAGGTTTGAGTTCAAATGTTGGATTTCTTTCTCTTTTTTAATGAATATGACTTCTGAAATATTCCCTACCTGTGAAATGGAAATACTGCTGTATATTTAAAAAGACTGTAATGAATTTTGAACAATGCATTGTGTCAAAATGAGTTGCAATTGACATATTTTAACAATTAATCATTTTAAGTACTTTGATTAGATATTTTAAATCATTTACTGTTAGAATCTGAATCTTTAGTAACAGCTTCTAATTTGTAAGCTTGCCAGGCATGTAGTTCCAAAGAGAAAGCCCAGACATCTCGCCCATGCAGTAGTCCAAAAATGCAGTAACTGTGGTGGTCTGCAGTCTGTTTGTGTGAGCTTCTTTGCATAATAAGGTTTTATGATGGGTACTAATTGGGTTTATTGACACTGCTGATCTATTCTTAAGCTTCTTACGTTTTGCAGTTTTTGCAGGGCTAATACCAGGCTAGAGTCTTAATTCCCACCCCTTTGAGTACCAACTGAAAGTGTTGGAACTTACCATTCTTATACAGTCCCAGGGTGTTATTTCTTTAATTGCTGTACACCTGTCTCATAAGCCACATTTTTCTTCATGATAAAACAAACACAGACTGAAACTTAGAGGAGACTGTCCTTTAATAGCAAATGGGTTTAATGAAATAAATTTTGGGACTTTAAAACACACTCAGTAAATCAAAGGAAATGAGAAATCACTCCAAGAGCAAGTCCTGCGATTTGGTCATGTTTTCGTGCGTAGATAAAATTCTTCAGAAATTGGCTACAAGCGCTGGCTTATAATTAACCTAGCCAAGCAGTAAGAAGTATGCTGTCTTCACTAAGTTGATGTGTCCTTGAAATCACATGTATCCAATTAACTGTGCAATAGAGAGCGATATCCTTATTTGCAATACATTTGGTGGAAATAATGCTTAGTGGCAGTAAAGACATTGGGCTGGAAAACGCATCCTTGTCTGAGTTCTGTCCCTCACAAGCTTGGAAACGGGACGGTCACTAAGTTTGTTTATAAATCCGTCTATAGAACGGAGATGCTTGATTAAATTTCCCTTAAAGAATTTCTCAAATCCTCCAGTGTGCGGGTTCTTCGACTCTGTCTCCCTTCGCAGCCTCACGTGCCCTGTAAACCAGCGGAGGATGGCTGCGTGCTGACATGTCCTTGTGACTCTTCTGCGTTTCTTTCTAAGCTTGTTCCTTGGTGCTGTGTCTTCTCTGAGCGGTTCTGCGCTGATCTGGGTGGCGTTTATTCCTGTAGGACCTCGATTCAAGGGGCCGCGGCTCGTCTGTCTGAAGACGCTCTAATGCTTGTACTTCTCTGGCAACTCTCTTGTAACACACAAATCAAATGATTGTTTTATTAGCATATATTCATGGCAAACCAGGTTTATTTTAAGAAACCTTTCCGGAATTTTCTTTTCAAATACTGAGAAAATACTGAGTTATATGTGATTTAACTTGATATGTATATCAAATTACATATGCAAATAATTTGTTTGGAAATCCTGTTGTAGCTTAGTGGATATGCATATTTTTGCTCTACTTAATATTTTTATTCCTGAGAGTATTTTAACAATTACTATGTTTAAATGTGCTTTATTTTTATATATCTTGCTTAAATAGTTCATAATATAGCAATCAAGATCTGATTCCAAATTCATATCATTTTAATACTTGTCTCAATAACTGGTATAGGTGCAGAAAGAGACATACATTCAAGTTTAAGAAGTGTATTATTGGTTACAGATTACTGAACCATCATGCCAGTTTTTATAAAACCCATTCACCAGTTCTGGATACACATCTTCCTTTTCTGGATGTTTGGTTTTCAGAACAACTTAGGATTTCCAATGTCCTTATTCTGTCATTGAGCAGTATTGCACGGTACAATATGCGCTTCAGATGAAGCTCATCATTAAATACGGTGGATTTAAACTCATATTTTAATTATCTTTACTGAAAATCATAAATTTGCTTTTGCATATTTCTCTGTAGAGTTGATTAGTTCATCATTTTTATGTGATGAATGAAGAACTCATGTTAGTCATAGAAGTGATATCCCCTTTTCTTGTTGTCCACTTGGGTTGTATAATTATTAGTGTTTTCCTTAATCCATGGTATCACTTAGCAGTGATTTTTTAAGTCAATTTATTTTCACTAGAGTTAGTTTAATCAAAACTAGATATTATAACTTGAAACTGTACTTGAGTGCAAATCGCAGCCCACTGAATGTAGACGAGCCCAGCGCCCCTTGACCGTTCCCTGCCATAGTTTCTTCCCTTCCCGTAGGATGACTTATTCACATGCCTCTGCCTTTAGTGGCATGGGCAGAGTGAGTACCAGGATCATAGGGTGCATTACTTACTAGCAAAACTTCACTAACTTGTTACATTTAGATAAGGATTCTAAATAAAGAAGAACAAAGGTTTAACTGCAGTCTATGATGCTGTAGTAATGGAAAGCTTTGTGATGTAGTAAAGATAAACAGACTGTGTTTCTTCCAGGTCTTCAGGGGCCTGGGAGTGTGGTTGAGAGTTGAGCTCTTGACCCAGGCAGGTAGAGCATTTGCTTTATCCGAGGAATGGCAAGGTCAGGAAAATTGCCTCGAGTGTCACATGAATGTGCCTGGTTGTGGGGAGGAGAAAAATGCACAGTCTGCCTAGCATGGCAGAGTACACTTGGGAGGCTTTGAAGGCTCAAAAACAGTGTTCTTAGAGATAGTTTTAAAATATTTATGGCTGAGTCTCTTTCCTGTTCATCTGAAACTATCACAACGTTGTTACTGGGCTATACTCCAGTACAAAATGAAAAGGTTAAAGAAAGAAAAGGAGCTCACCTGGAAGGCACTGTTTGGAAGCCCTGAGTACCCCCATGTGAGGGGTCTCTAGGAAGGGTTGCTGCTACTAGCAAGAATTTCTGAAACGGATAAACATCCCATAGTTTTGTAGAAATAGAAAATTTGAAGTTTTATAAAAAGTTGTATATTCATTTACTGAACAAGTAAATGTCCAGTGTGCTCACATCAGACATGGATTTGGCAAAACCACATTTGCAAAGAAACATTTACATAAAAACATACCAGACAGCAAAAACTTACAGGGTCACATGTGCGCCTATGGTCAAATCATGTTGATGTATGGCAGGGGCCATCACAATATTATAAAGTAATTATCCTCCAATTAAAATAAATAAATAAATTTTAAAAACTCATCTCTTAATCTAGTTTTCCTTTTAAATTGAGCTATATTTCTATAAATTAAACTTTAAAAAGGGACTGAATCACAGTGAGGGTAGATTAGGTGATGATATTTTCTACCAAGGTTTAGGACCCAGAGTCACTGTCCATATATCATTATCTGTGGCTGGCTGCTTATCGTCATCCATTCAATTTTTGAGGAATTGTTCAGAATAATTTACTTAAGTGAGGTTTGTACAAATGGTTTGATATTGTCATAAGTATGTGACCTTTTTAATGTCTTTTTCTAAACAGACAATTTTAGTTGAGTGAAATTGCCAGTTGCTAAGGTGTTTATTTTCAAACATGTGATGACTGTGGCTTTGTGCTCAAAGAACAGTTTCTGAATTTCCAGCCTCAGGGGCGTAACTGAACATTCTAGTTATTTATCATGAAAGTGTTTGCACAAACATACATTGACCAAAATTTTAATATCCAATAAACTGTCAGTATTGATCACAATTGTGAATTGTACTTATTTAAAATGTATGCATTCTCTTATCCTAGGAAGGACAGAGAGAGAATGAGAAAAGGGAGGTGGGGAATGATAAAGAGAGAGGATGAAAGAGAGAGAGACAGATTGAATAAATCAACTTAAACTATTGAAGAATGATAATAGAGGAATTGATCAATAGTTGATCTGTATGAATATTTAAAGGTACATTGTAACCTGAGGGTGTTTGTTTGCAAAACGTTCATACTTTTAGTATTCTATTACCTTGTCAAAGTATTTTCATTACAACTAATTCATAAAATAAACTTTATTGAAATCATCATCTCCTAACAATTTCTCATTAACAATATGATATGTCATCATTTTTTTAGGGTTAAAAAAGCAATAAGATATTTTACAGTTTCTTTGGTAATAGAAAATGTCATTTAGATCTGACACTGTGTATGTTTAAGAGTTGCTATTTTTCCCTCTTTTTTTTTTTTGGCTACTTAGAATCAGGCTGCCTGCTTATTCATTCTTGAGATAAGTGATTAAGTAATTTGGTATAAATCCACCCAAACTCTGCCCAAGCATGCCCCCTTTCCAAGTAGTTTTAAACCATACGATGCAGTAATGCAGTTTGACTAAGAATTTATTCAACTGAAAGAGGTCAGAGAAAGTATTTCTCATTTTCTTTTCATAATGTGTAACTAATTGTGTGACTATATATGCTTTATCCTTTTGTAAATGGCAACAATTATTGATAAATATAAAGGAATGATTTTTCAAAATCCACTTCTCAAAATAGTTTTCTGTGTTTTTGAACTATATTATTACCTTTTTCTAATTTTATAGTATCCTTGTATCTAAAATGGGTATTATTTTCAAAAATCTATTTTCTACTTCAGGAATATACAATAGATGTTTTCTTTCGACAAAAATGGAAAGATGAACGATTAAAATTTAAAGGTCCTATGAACATCCTTCGACTCAACAATTTAATGGCCAGCAAAATCTGGACTCCAGATACCTTTTTCCACAATGGTAAGAAGTCGGTGGCGCACAATATGACAATGCCAAATAAGCTGCTGCGAATCCAGGATGATGGCACCCTGCTGTACACGATGAGGTACGTGTTTAGATCTGACGTGTCGCCTTTAAATACTGAGGAGTCTGTGTATGAACCAACCAGCCAAACTAGGTATCAAGTGCTAGCAAGTTGAATACCTTTACAACAGATTATTGAGATAACCAGAATATGTTTTGTAAATGCTTGAATATTAAAAAGCAAAGGTAAAGTAGTATTTATGAGTCTGAATCTCATTTGAGTGTGTTAAAACTTAAAAATTGCTTTAACTGTTAAAAATGTATTTATTTTTTTGTCAATTTACTTTTCATACTACATTGGAGTTAAGTACAATTTTAACAGTATGGTTTAAAATTTTCTTTATACTAGTATGAAGTTTTGTTTTTAATATCTCATGAACTATTCCTTCAAAATTTTAAGTCTTTTTTTTTTTTTTTTTAGCAAATTTCACTTACTATTTTGATTCTCCTTAGGAAAGAAAAAATACTTTTACAGCTTCAGAGATGCCTTGTAACTCCAAGTTCAGATGTTACAATCTTAAAAATTATCTAAAGAAATATATAGGTGTTGACTCTAGCAACTATTCCATTTTAACTCTTCTCACAAATTAATCTTTTAAAATGTCATGTAACAAGGAAAACAATTGCAAATCTAATAAAATGATGTATAATCAAGACTTTGTCTAAATAAATAACTTTCATCAGCATTATATATAGACAGATGTGTATTCCAGGCACTTGATGTATTATTATTTCATGTGAAATGTTAAGTGGTAAATTTCCATTGTGAAAGTTATTTAAGAAGGGACAATATGCAGTCCTGATCTTTAAAGAAGAAACTTTTTTTGTAGTTTTCATTACTAAATGACCATTGCCTAAAATGGAAGCTAGCTATTCATTCTGCTTCTCTTGTTGAATCTTGCAATGCAGATATCATATCCTGCTTGGCTTTACACATTAATCAGTCCTGTGAATTAAGAAAAGAAATTGGAAATTTGGGGTTTTGGAAAAAGTTGTATAGAGTTCTACTTAAATACTCTCTTAAAAGCATATGCTGTTCTGTGCTCAGTCATGTCTGACTGTTTGCAGCCCCATGGACTGTAGCCCATCCACCCCCCCCAGATTCTTCTGTCCACAAAATTTTCCAGGCAAGAATACCAGAATGGGTTGCCATTTCCTACTCTAGGGGATCTTCCCAACCTAGGGGTTGTACTCAACTCACATCTCCTGCATTTCCTGTGTTTACAGGCAGATTCTTTACCACTGAGCCGCCTGGGAAGCTCTCAGAAGTGTATACATTATAATTAAGTTGTTGGTCCCCTTTGTTTTGGTCATCATAAGAGATTCATCTGTAATTTCAAATTAGTACCTATTTTATCTACTTTACCTTTGAGCAAAATGGAATAATCGATAATTTTCTTTATAATAAATTTGCTATGATTACTCTTTAATGTGATCATGAAAATACAAAATATATTTCTTTAACATTTATAATTCAACAATTATGGACTTCTGTCCATAATTTGATTAACAGTCTAGTCTCAAAAATATATTTCTAATGTATATATATTTATGTATATATATGTATGTATTTACAGATATAAATAAAGACAGATACATATATATATCCTAGAAATATCTTGTTGAGGCTAGCATATATATGTATTTATGGGCTTCCTGGGTGGCTCAGATGGTAAAGAATCCACCTGCAATGAAGGAGATCTGGAGTCGATCTCTGGGTTGGGAAAATCCCCTGTAGGAGGAAATGGTAATCCACTCCAGTATTCTTGTCTGGAGAATTCCATGGACAGAGGATCCTGGTGGGTTACAGTCCATGGGGTTGCAAAGCGCAGGACACAACTGAACGACTAACACATTCACTTTCATATGTATCTATATATAGTATATAATATTCATTTACAATTTATTAATTTTGAAGGGTGCTTCCCCAAGGCATTGTTGAATTCTTGTATCAGGTTTGCTATATGGTTATTGATGGAACATTGGGAGAAAATAGCTTTCTTTTTATGATAGAGATTTTTTTCATTTTTTTCTTTAGGATTTCAGATGTCAATATTGAAGTTAATGGGAAACTAACCTTCAAAAACATGTACATAACTTTTTCTTAACTAACCACAGAGTATGAAATGCTTAAGTAAAGTGTATTTTTAATTAGGTTTTGTTACTTGCGCTCAGATTTTATTGATGCTAACATCTTCTGAAAGATTGCCTAAATGTGAAATAACAAAAGCATATTTAAATGTGAATTAGCCTAATAGGATGCCATGATGAGGATCCTACCTCATCATTCATCATTAATTCTATTGACAACAATAAGGAGTGATTTATCTTGACTTGCCAATTTACTTAAACGAAGAGTGGAATTTTGACTTTTAGGCTTACAGTTCAAGCTGAATGTCCAATGCACTTGGAGGATTTTCCAATGGATGCCCACTCATGTCCTCTGAAATTTGGCAGCTGTAAGTATGGGGATGGAGGTGCATGTTTTGGGTCAATAAAATCAAAGATGGTCAGCATCACAACTTAATTGTGTACTTCCTTCTCATATGATAGGATGCTTAATGCTTTTCTAACAAGATGCAGAAACAAAAAATATACTGACTTCCCTCAAGTAATCAATTGGCCAGCCCTCCTGCATTCTCAAATATCCCTATATCTTAATTATCATGTTTAATTGTCATTTTCCTTACTGCTAGTAAAAAACACCCTATGTTTTTATACATATGAAAAAGTGGGAGCTCCTTGAAGTTCTGGGCTATTATCGTTTACCTCCTTTTTCAAGTGCAAATACATTAAAAATGCAACATAAAGTGGGGTTTTTTTCAACTGAGAGTGAAAATGTTAAGGAGAGATTCTGTTGTTTAGTGATCAGCCAGACACAAATGGCAGTAGAGAATGGGTGAAAAAAAGAAAAAAGAAGCTGGATCTCTGTAATTATCTTTCCACTTTCTAATAATAGAGGGAATTTTTTTCTAAAATAAATTTGAAAGAGTCAATGGAGCAAGATTGCTCCATGTGGGCACTTTCTGTGTACAAAAAGTATTTCAGAAAAGGCACGGTGCATTTGGCTGTTGTTTAGGTCACTGAGGTTGTATCTTATATGTCAACCTGAAGCATTAGCTCTCCCAGAATAATTGAAAAGAGGGAAGGTCAAATCATCTCCCTCGGCCCACAAGGCATTCAGGGCAGGTTCAGGATAAATTCCTGGACAATGGCAAAGCAGCTTCTCCCTTGTGAGAGTCCCATAGCCTGACCTTTTCAGAAACCGTGCTCTTTCTAGCACTCCATCTTTGTCCATTCTGAGCAGCTTCTGACTTTTCACTCTTGAACAGAAATGCAGTTCTCTCAGCTGATGAAAAATATGCATGACTAAATAATGTACCTTCTGCTCACAGACTGTATCAAGTGAAGAATAAGGAAGAATGATGGCCAATACGAATGCAAAACCCTCTTATTATTTTGATGATCATAGTTTTACGGAATGATAAGTTCAATCTTATTTGTTCTATATTACAAAAGGTGTCAGTTCCCAATTTTCTTTGAGAATCTCCTCTTTGTATAATTACAAAGCCTTCGTTTCCTGTCATGGAAACTATCACTTCAGTACTAGCACTTCTTCGAAAATTATTTAAGGTAGTCAATCATGTTATTCCAAATAAGTATTAAGCTAGAAAACTACATTATATACAGCACAGAAAAGATAATTTGCATTGCATAAATTGTATTAAATAGATAATTGAAAACCCTTGATACCAAAGCAAGTATTTATTGAAGATGCAGTAGTGATCTAAGAAAGAAAGGATTTTGCAGTGGACAAGTTAATGCCATTAAGACACTAAACATAAGTGATGTCTCAATTCTGAATGTGAAATAGATACACTCAAAAATATTTTAAATGAACATTTAAAATGTATTATACTGCATGCTCAGAGAAATGTAATATTGTGCACTTGAGAATATGGTTTTCTGTATTTCGAAGTGTTGCAGGCAACATATAGAGCTTATTGTTTGGCATTTTTTGTTGAATTGTGCTTACTTAGTTTTCTCTATATTTTTTTTCTGACATATAGAGTTAAAAAAAAGTTGCATATTATTTTATGCTTGCCAATAGTACATACTTGAGACATAGAGAATTAATGTATAGACAGCAGTATGGTATATGGACCAACAGACCAACCCAAAACTTAAAATGTTGGCAAGACAAATTTTGGCAGAAGGAGCCATGGCCTTTTCTTCTAATCATTTACTTCTCACTTATTTAAAAAAATCTCCTTGTCTCCCACAAGTGATGGAATTCCTGGAGTTTTATCATTATCCTCAAGTAAAAGAAGCATCTTTTCTACTAACTTACAATTTTGAATTCAATTTTGTTTTGCTTTTTGCTGTTGCTTCACATCTTTATACAATTCCTTGCTATTTAATTTGACCTAAAACTTCCTGAATGGAAATCTAAAAGTACTCTGGGCATCATCTCAGAAGAAATTTTAATTTTTTTGGATAAAAATTAATAATTAAAATGATTTTGGTATTGTTGGGGTTATCAAATATTAAGAATTGGTTAGTGTGCCTTTACTCTAATTCAGATTAGGACTCAAAATGGGTTATTGATTTAAATTAAGTAAAATTATGTAATGGAACCTAATCTAGACATGCAATTTATAAAGAAATTAGTCTTTTTCTCCTTTTATACTTCACTGAAAAATCACAACAGTTTCTGAGTTTACATGTGTGTTTGTGGACCAGAAAATGCCTCAAATCTGCATTGCATAACTTTCTGTTCTCTCTTTTCTCGCCAGACCCCAAATCTAAAAAACATATTCCTACCTAACAAATGAAATAATTTCTTTTTATAAAAGATATGGAAAGGATCAGTCATTTTAACATATTCTTGAGCTTCCGTCCAGATTTCCATCTTTCATAATAGTAAATAACAAAATTAAAATGTTATGTTTCCTGATTAATCTAGCAAGAATGAAGCAAGAGCATTTTCCTTATGACAGGTGTGAAAAGTATAGTTATAAGTAAGAAAGAGTCCCTCCCATTAGTCTCTTATTAGTTTCTCAAAAATACCACCATTTTGCAGAGTTTCATTTTCTCTTATTTATGTTTAAAGGTAAACATCAAAATTCAAAAGTGGAATTATTATAATTGCTTAAAATAAAACCTTATATGTATTAGGATCTACAACTGCTGAGTACTCTGAGGTCTTCTGATATAAAGTGGAGCATGTGATGTCTTTTCAGTTTATTAAATTATGTGTCATTTGAAATTTTATTGAAGAGAAGGTCATTATATGTACTCATGAGGAGAACAAAGCAAGCCACTTGATAATCTGAGAATGCATTGCTGGTTATACACATTACTAAGATTACTTATATATAACAACAAAATCATCAATGATTAATTGAAATTTTTTAATAGAAATTTAGATTTTAGAGTAACTGATTCATTCATATGCAAACTATAGGAAGATATTTGCTATTAAATATATGTATATACAAACAAGGATATATATATATAAATAATATAAATACACATATTTTTAGAATGCTATTTCAGAACAATATTTTATATAATATAGTTTACTTGTGGATGTAGGTGTGTACATGTCTTTCACTGATATTAACATTTACTAGTGATGTTCAGAAAAGCAGACACATTGTAGTATGTCATTGAAAGATCACACAGTGAATAAGACACAACAGTAACTTTATTGTAACTAATGCTTAAGTGCGAATGGATTTGTGGTCACAGACTTTGGTTCCAGGTAAGTGCCAGAACCACCCCAGAACCATGGTATTAACCTAGAAATATATAGGTGGCAGGTAGATGAGCTTTTCAGTGTCCTGAAGACCTAGAGGCAGACAGCTGGAGACAGCTGGAGACAGCTGGTTCTTTCTCTCCCTCAATTGAAAATGTGACTGTGATGCTGAGTTTTGCTCAGGGACCGGAAGTAACTAATATTTCTAAATATTCCCATGAGCACAAGTGCAGAGAAGTTCTTTGGAAGGTCAGTAGGACAGCCAGAATTGTCTGCTTATTCAACTGTGGAGAAACTCTGCCTGTTCCCCTCAGGACATGCAGGCACAAGGGAAATGCCAGGGCCAGAGAAGTGCTGAGACAAGATACACTGCTTGCTCTCAAGCTATAGAGTCATCTCACTTCTGATAAGTCCTGTTTCTTTGGCCAAATAAATCAGAAAGCTATATCTGGTCTGCACGTGATCTGTCTCCTCCTGCCAATATACAGCTTACTTAGGATGCTATGCAAGTATAATCCAGTGAGATCTGTGTGCAATAATTAATTTTAAAATGAATATGTTTTAAAGTGTTTTCAATTTATGAAACTATAGCATTCTGAGTTATTTTACATATTCAGCAAAATTCTCATTCTTCTAATGAAATGCATTGGATCATGATAGCTAAGTTATTTAATTCTTAACTAGGTGAAAGTTTTGAAGAAAAGTCTATCAAACTAACTACAAAGACAATACTTTAAATATAATATATATCATTATTGTTCTCACATGGAAATAAGTTACCATTATGTCCAGAGAACAATGTCATTTTGGAATACAATTATTATTTCATGAGCAATGACTGTTTCTAAATTAACTAATTAAATGGGCCTTGGGTATTTGTAACCTGTTTATTGCAATGCATTCATCTGTTACTTTGGGAATATAGAAGACATTTTAACCATCTCAGAGCCCAGTGATTTTTGCAGGTTCTAAAGAGATATTTGATCTTTATCTCTCAAAGTGGTTGCAGTGAAGATATTCTTATGGTCATGCTTGCCTCTCTTCATCTGCTTCACACCCTTCTTATTGAAACTTCAAAGACACTTTTTTACCCTAAAAACATGATCTTTAAACATCAGTTTTATAGTAAACAATAATTCTATGAAATATACAACCTTTGATGTTGGGTATTATTGATGGTTCTTATTAAAATGCTTAAAAAGATTTTTTTCCCCTGATTTCCTGCAGATGCGTATACAACCTCAGAGGTTACTTACATTTGGACATACAACGCGTCTGATTCTGTACAAGTTGCTCCTGATGGCTCGAGGTTAAATCAATATGATCTGCTGGGCCAATCAATTGGGAAGGAGACAATTAAATCTAGTACAGGTTAGTAAAAAATGAGTCCAAAGTAAAGCTAATTCCTAAGAAAGTTAATGGGTTAAAGCCATTGGACATATATCAGTTTGCTTAAAACCTTTTTCTCTTGAAGTCTAAGAACTAGCAGCATAGACTGTGCTTGGGAGCTTTTTAGAAATTGAGACACTCAGGCCTGAGTCCTGCTAAGTCAGGATCTGCTTTTTAACAAGACTTTAAGGAGATTCCAAGATATGCGTTAAAGTTTAGAAAAACCACTGATCTAACGTGTCTTTTGCGACGAGCCAGTTTTACCTTCAACAGTGTGACAGTTTCCCTCGTTTTTTCTAAATCTTTTTCCCTATCCCGGATAATTTATGACAACTCAGTGCTTGGTTATAAGTAATCACTGCTGGCCTCCGCGGGAAAGCTGAAACTCTCCCTAAGAACACACGGCTGCATGAGCTCACAGTCTCACATCTGGCAGATAGAAACCCAGAGCAGAACGGAAGGTAGCTGTGAGGATCAGACAGAACTGACCCCAGTATGTTAGAGAAGACATTAAGATTGGTAAATTCAGAATTGGTGATAGGATTAAGTTCTGGGCCAAAAGATCAGTCGTGGAGATGTGGCCAGAGATCAATACCAAAAAGAGCCTAAGGAGGACTAGACTGGAAAACAATCAAAGCGGAGGCTTGAGGGTGGTACCAGAGAGGATGAGGAGCTGAGCAGCTAAGATAATGGATGTTCAGAGAGCACTTATGAATCCTCTATCCTTTGGTCAGTAAGCATGACCTGGAGAGAAGACTCAAATACCACACTGTATGCAAACCGTGCAAATTCCTTGGTCATATGAAAATTTTCTTTTAAATACTCTTGCTATGCTAAATGACATTCTAATGTTATGTATTTTCCATGCCATATATGGGACGAATTCTTTGCATTTTTAAATCAGAGACTATTTTTCTCTAATCCCTTCCATTTCGAAAATGTTCAAACTATTGACTACTACAGTTTCTTAAGCTTCTTAAATTTTTCTTCTAGGTGAATATACCGTAATGACAGCTCATTTCCACTTGAAAAGAAAAATTGGGTATTTTGTGATTCAGACATATCTGCCTTGCATCATGACGGTCATTCTCTCCCAAGTGTCGTTCTGGCTTAACAGAGAATCTGTGCCCGCGAGAACAGTGTTTGGTGAGTGACTAACCGCACAAGCGCATTTTGTTTCATGGCATACTTTCAAAAGCATTCTGTCTCTTGATCCTCACCCCAGTAGTTTGTTATGTACAGAGCAGGGAGTATTAGGCTCTGCCTTATAGATGAGGAAACTGAGGCTCAGGGAAGTAAAATGCAGAGTCAGTGTTCCATTCTTGACAGGGAATATAAACAGTTCTCAAATGTGAAATACACTGTCTTCTTTCTGTTAAATCATTTTGCTTAGCAACACTTCTTTCATGTTAGTATAAGAAGAATATTCTTAGAGGTTTTAACATAAAGTTCAACAGTACCATATTTCTCAGCTTTTATGTTTACTTATTTTTTTTTTTTTTTGGAGGAGGGTTAGTTTTTAGATGAACAAAGATGACATTAGTACCCTAAATGAGAGAGAATAAGGGAGGAAGGGGAGGAGAAAGAGAAAGAGATTCCTCATTCCCTATCACTAGTATGTTTAATAACAAAATTAAGTTTCTTGATTTAAAACATGCAGGGGAATTTTCTGCTTTTTATATATATGAATTAAGATGAGCACATTTTGTAACAAAGTAGGCCACTTTGTGTATTTGGTCCACTCATTCATTTAGGACGGCTTTGCTGAGAATCTACTGTGGTGAAGAGCACCAGAATAAGCAGGAAAGTTAATGACAACACAAGATGAAAGCATTATAAAAGAGACCCATGCCAGCCTTTAAAAATATACAGCAGCGTGGATCCTCCCTAAGAGGGCCGATTATGTAGCTGAGTTAACATTCACGCTAAGTCTTGAAGGATAAGTAGGAGATTCCCAGACGAATGAGATGGGACAAAAATCCTAGTCAAAAAAGGATCAAGTACGCAATAATACAGCAGTATGGAAGGGCGCAGTGTATTCAGTGACAGTGAGCTATTCCAATGTCAGTAGGTATGCATACAGATAGAAAAGTAGTTTGAGGCCTATATGAGCGTCCTTATAGGCCATGTTAATATAATGTAGCTGCATCTTATCGACTATAGTGTTTTGAAACCAGGGACATGTGTAAAGCTCTTAGAACTATGCCTGGCATTTATTACATCTATGTGGTTGTTAGCTATTCTTATTATCAATTGTGAAAAATCAATTTTAGTCTCAATATTATAAATGAATAATTTAAAAGATCATTTCATTTATAATCGTGTCTAAAATAATAAAATATCTAGAAATAAACGTGATCAAGTAGGTAAAAACTTGTCCACTAAGAATGATAAAACTTTGCTGAAATAAATTAAAGAAGACCTAACTAAATGGAAAGATATCTCATGTGTTTTTTTGAAGATAGTACCAACCATTGAGATAGGAATTATCCCCAAAGCAATCTATAGATTCAGTTCAATACCTGTAAACAATCCAATGGCTTTTTTGGGCAGAAATGTCAAGCCTAAAATTCATGTGAAATTGCAAATAGCTCCAAATAGCCAAAACAGTATCAATAAAGAAAAAAGTTGCTGAACTCATACTACCCAGCTTCAGAGCCTAGTACAAAGCTACATTAATCAAAACAGTGTGGTAGTGTCGTAAGGATGGACATATAGACCGATGGAGTAAAACTGAGACCAGAAGCAAACAACTATGGCTAATGGATTTTCAGGAGGGGTGCCAAGACCCTTCTGTAGGGACATAGTAGCCTCTTTCCCAAATGGAGCTGGGATAGCTGGATGACCACCAGGTACACAGCAATGAAGATGGAGCCCTACCTCACTCCTTGACACAGCAGTTAAACCGGCATAAAGCTTTAATGTAAACTGAGAGCTGTACACTATTAGAAGACAGCACAGGGTCTATTAGAGGAAAAGGGAGGATAAATCTTTGTGAGTTTGGATCTATCAGTGGATTCTTAGATTTGACATCAAAAGCATGGGTAACAAAGAAAAACAGAAAAATTGAATTTCACTAAGATTGAAAACTTTTGTATCTCAAACATCATCAAAAATGTGAAAAGACAACTCACATTTGGGAGGAAACAATTGCAAACCATGCATCTGATAAGGGTTTAATATCCTGAATAAATAAGGAATTCTTACAACTCAAAAACAAAATGACCAAAACCCTGATTTTAGAAAATGGACAAAAAACTCAAATGGACTTTTTTCTAAACAAAATATACAAATGGCAAACAAACACAAGTAATAATGTACATCATTGTACATTAAGGAAATGCAAATAAAAACAACAATAAAATACATTAATACGTACAAGGATAGCCATAATAATGAATAAACCAAAAGAAAAAAAGGGACTTAAGTACTCGTGAGAATGCAGAGAAATGGAAACCCCTCATAAATTGCAGGGGGAGTATAAAATGATAAAGCATCTGTGGACAACTGTTTGGCAGTTCCCCAAAAAGATGAACATGAATTAACATATGATTCAACAATTTTACCACTACGTATTACCTAAGATTAATGAAAGCATGTTTATATAGAAACTTGTACACAGATGTTTATAGCAACATTATTCCTAATAATCAAAGGATACAAACAATTCAAATATCCTTTGTAGATGAATGGATAACCAAAATATGGTATATACTTACAGTAGGATATGATTCACCTACCAGTCAGTCAGGCAGTCAGTGCAGTCACTCAGTTGTGTCCCACTCTTTGCGACCCCATAGATGCCAGGCCTCCCTGTCTGGCACCAACTTGTAGAGTTTACGCAAACTCATGTTCATTGAGTTGGTGATGCCATCCAACCACCCCATCCTCTGTCGTGCCCTTCTCCTCCTGCCCTCAGTCTTTCCCAGCATCAGGGTCTTTTCCAATGAGTCAGTTCTTTGCATCAGATGGCCAAAGTATTGGAGTTTCAGCTTCAACATCAGTCCTTCCAATGAAGATTCAGGACTGGATTCCTTTAGGACGGACTGGTTGGATCTCCTTGCTGTGCAAGGGACTCTCAAGAGTTGTCTCCAGCACCACAGTTCAAGAGCATCAATTCTTTGGCACTCAGTTTTCTTTATATTGCAAATCTCACATCCATATATGACTACTGGAAAAACCATAGCCTTGACTAGACAGACCTTTGTTGGCAAAGTAATGTCTCTGCTTTTTAATATGCTCTCTGGGTTGGTCATAATTTTTATTCCAAGGAGCACGTGTTTTTTAATTTCATGGCTGCAATCATCATCTGCAGTGATTTTGAAGCCCAAAAAATTAAAGTCTGACATTGTTTCCCCATCTATTTACCATGAAGTGATGGGACCAGATGCCATGATCTTAGTTTTCTGAATGTTGAGCTTTAAGCCAACTTTTTCACTCTCCTCTTTCACTTCATCAAGAAAATCTTTAGTTTTTCTTCACTTTCTGCCATAAATGTGGTGTCATCTGCTTATTTGAGGTTATTGATATTTCTCCTGGCAATCTTGATTCCAGCTTGTGCTTCCTCCAGCCCAACATTTTTCATGATGTACTCTGCATATAAGTTAAAATAAGCAGGGTGACAATATACAGCCTTGATGTACTCCTTTTCCTATTTGGAACCAGTCTTTTGTTTCATGTTCAGTTCTAACTGTTGCTTCCTGACTACATACAGATTTCTTAAGAGGAAAGTCAAGTGGTCTGGTATTCCCATCTCTTGAAGAACTTTCCACAGTTTATTGTGATCCACACTGTCGAAGGTTTTGGCGTAGGCAATAAAGCAGAAATAGATGTTTTTCTGGAACTCTCTTGCTTTTTCAATGATCCAGTGGATGTTGGCAATTTGATTTCTGGTTCCACTGCCTTTTCTAAAACCAGCTTGAACATTTGGAACTTCATGGTTCACATATTGCTGAAGACTGGCTTGGAGAATTTTGAGCATTAAGTTACTAGCGTGTGAGATGAGTGCAATTGTGTGGTAGTTTGAGCATTCTTTGACATTACCTTTCTTTGGGATTGGAATGAAAACTGACCTTTTCCAGTCCTGTGGCCACTGCTGAATTTTCCAAATTTTCTGGCATATTGAGTGCAGCTCTTTCACAGCATCATCTTTCAGAATTTGAAATAGCTCAACTGGAATTCCATCACCTCCACTAGCTTTGTTTGTAGTGATGCTTCGTAAGGCCCACTTGACTTCACATTCCAGGATGTCTGGCTCTAGGTAAGTGATCACACCATCGTGGTTATCTGGGTCATGAAGATCTTTTTTGTACAGTTCTTCTGTGTATTCTTGCCACGTCTTCTTAATATCTTCTGCTTCTGTTAGGTCCATGCCATTTCTGTCCTTTATCGAACCCATCTTTGTATGAAATGTTCCCTTGGTATCTCTAATTTTCTTGAAGAGATCTCTAGTCTTTCCCATTCTATTTTTTTTTTTCCTCCCTGTATTTTTTTGCACTGATTACTGAAAAAGGCTTTCTTATCTCTCCTTGCTATTCTTTGGAACTCTGCATTCAAATGTGTATATCTTTCCTTTTCTCCTTTCTTTCTGCTTCTCTTCTTTTCACAGCTATTTGTAAGGCCTCATAAGACAGCCATTTTGCTTTTTTGCATTTCTTTTTTGGGGGATGGTCTTGATCCCTGTCTCTTGTACAATGTCACAAACCTCCATCCATAGTTCATCAGGCACTCTGTCTATCAGATCTAGTCCCTTAATCTATTTCTCACTTCCACTGTATAATCGTAAGGTATCTGATTTAGGTCATATATAAATAGTTTAGTGGTTTTCCCTACTTTCTTCAATTTAAGTCCGAATTTGGCAATAAGGGGTTCATGATCTGAGCCACAATCAGCTCCTAGTCTTGTTTTTGCTGACTATATCAAGCTTCTCCACCTTTCACTGCAAAGAATACAATCAATCTGAATTTGGTGTTGGCCATCTGGTGATGTTCATGTGTAGAGTCTTCTCTTGTGTTATTGGAAGAGGGTGTTTGCTATGACTGGTGCAATCTCTTGGTAAAACTCTATTAGCCTTTGCCCTGCTTCATTCTGTACTCAAAGGCCAAATTTTCGTGTTATTCCAGGTGTTTCTTAGCTTTCTGCTTTTG